TGTTTAGAAACTTAAGTTTAATCTAGTTTCTTTAAACTAATAATGTTTCTTAACATAAATTTTGTAATTTGTAGATTACCTTTTTAGGCATTTACTCCATAGCATAAAAACATACAAATTACATATTTTTAAAACCATGGTTTTAATAGTGCTTATAAGCTGGCTAAAAAAACAAAGATTCTCAGCACTCATGATAAGAAAAGACTTCTCGGATTACATGGATGTTAGAGAAGGACTAAGACCCTAAAATATGTCTTTTCAAAACTCCTGCTCAAGGATGGTCATAAAGTGAGCTGTTAGAGTCTGTCTCACACAATTTGGAGAAGTCATGTGGGTTAGGTGATGTGAACTGGGAAGACACTCCAACGAGAAATGAAGGATCTACATTCTTTCTGCTTCTTATTTTTTTGACAGAAGATTCTATGTGTTCTTGCTATTCTTGCCTTCTAGGCAAGAAGAGAGGCGACTGCGTACATCTTACTGTAGCATATTTCATATTGCCTGCCTCATAGAAAGTCATTATGTCACTTGATTAATTTCCTTAAATTTGTCTTAGATGGGGAATGAAAGCTCCCTTATTTTCTTGCCAAATATTACTACATCATGGTAAAATTTGAAAAGTAACATAGGTTTGCACAGTCTAATTAGCCGATATGAAATTTCACAGGGACAGCTCTGGAGCAGAGGCACATACTCTGATAGCGGGTCACTGGGACCCAGGGAAATGACTTCAGTCCTAATTGTGGTATCTAGACCTCACATGTGCACATATGGGCCTATGGCAGAAAGTGAATCAATGCTCATCAACAGACAACATTGTGATCAAATCAGCTTTAGACTGAGATATTTGTTTTGCTCTGTTTTTGTTGTTGTTGTTTGTTGTTTTGTTTTCAGACAGAGGTACTAATTTTGCTTTTGGGTAACTGAAGACAGGAGTTTTCATTTCCTTGGCTTATACAATTAGTCAGTAGTCAAGTTGTAAGTAGAACCCAGGCCTTCTTCCTCCAGCACTATTTTCTTTCTGCACAGGCTTAGAGGTGAAACTTCAAGGTCTAAAAACTTCTGCCAACACATACTTCTGTGTTCCAGGCAACACCTACTGCTGTTGTTACAGTCAGAGTTTCTTCTTTTATGATCAAGCTGGCTACACAATCTGGAAAAGGCTTGAATGCCCTAAAGCAAAGGTTGATTTGGAGGAACATTTCAAGGTTTTTCTTTCCTAGGGAGCACTTTTTATAAGGCACCAAGACATTCACGCATGCCCTGAAGAAATTGATTTCAACTTCATAGATTGAGTCACATCATTGGATTTCATATCCTCAAATGCTGACTTTCATTTTAATGTCATTCAGTTGTAATCTCATATAGGTTCTATACACAAGAGACCATGGACAAGCAAATGTAGCCTTGAAAATAGATTTAAATTAGGCAACAGGGTTAATTTTAGAACCATCTCCTAGAACATTAGAGGAACATATTTGAACAAAGTGGCAAGATTTAAAGATTTTTTTCCTGTCTTCAAGTCCATAAAAGACATTGTTTTGCTTTGAGGCAATTCCAGTATTGTGTCTGTTCTTTGTGTTTTCAATCAATTAAACACGTTGGCAAAGAAGAGTGATTGATATTCTCTGATTTCCTGTTCTCAGCAACTCAGAAAAAGTCTACCTGTTATCTTGTATTCCGAGTCAAAGAGTGGCAAATTCTCTTTTGAAGTTAATGAATGGCGTGTCTTATCCATATTGTTCTAAACTATGCTTAGGATCAAAAGAAAAGATCTTTCTTATAGCTCATGATTCTGATTGAAGAATAAAATGTCAGCTCCAAATCTTTCAATTATTCATCTCCACCTCCACTATTTTGTAACATGCCCCACTAGTGACTGAAATCATGTCCTGACAGAGTTTCCTACCTTCTATATAGTGACCCTTCCTTGAATATATGCACAGGTTACAATTATTCTTAACCTTCAGAATGACTGCTCTAAAACAGTGGCTCTGTCAATTGGGAGCATGAAGTCCCCTTTAGGACTTCTAAGAACAGAGTGCTGAGTCCTGCCCCAGAGTTTCTGAACCTACAGGCCTGGAAGGGCCTTGAGTATTTTCATTTTCAGCAAGTTTTCACAGGACATTAATTGAGCTGGCCTCTGAAACATACATTGAGAATTATAAATATAATAAAACTGACCATATCACTACCTTCTAAAACAATCCTTCAGTGACTCCTCATCCTCCATAATTTAAGTTCTTTCATTGGGCTCAGATGGCCCTATATCATCTAATTTTTAAAAGGTATTTATTTATTTGCTTATTTATCAAGAGAAGAAGAGAAAGACAAGCATCTTCAACATCTCATGCTGTAATTCTTCCTTTCTGGTTTCCCCAGCTAGCCAGGATCATGGACATGTGCACATGTACCCCATATGTGCAAGCTGACTTGGGAACAGAACCTATCTTCATCTGGTTTCTGAATTGCAGAACCTTGTGCTGCTATTATTTTACCATGGCTGAATGGTGGTCTTTGCTTAATTATTTTTTTTAAGAGAGATCAGTGCTATAGGGTGCATGCCTTCACCAGAGAGACAGACAGAGAGATAGAAAGCTAGAGATCACTCCCTGGGGGATGGACACACCACAATCCCTTCTCCATTCTTCTCTCAGGATTTTGGGCATTACACACACGTGCCCTGTATTATTTGTAAGCCACCAGACCCGGGACTCAAACCACAGGTGACTACATGGGAGTCCAGTGATATAACCATTATGTTATCTGTTTGTTCCTTTGTCTAATTCTTACGTTTAGTCTCTTACTATCCCTGCCTCAAGTAGTACATTGATAACGTTTTAAAACTTGTTGCCCTGGGTAGGGAACAGACACACACACACACACACACACACACACACAGACAAGTATATATGTGTCTGTGTATATACAAACAAAATTACTAGTATAAACAATGTATAATACATAGTTTACAAATAATATTAAAATAAAAATATTAATTATTATAAATGTCATATTACTAAGTTGATTCTTACAGAAGGGTTTTGTTGATTTTGTACTGAATTATTTTCTCTGGAGTCATGTATGGTCTCTACCACATATTCCTCTTATTATTTCTTTATTTCTTTTACAAGCCTTTAAAAATGTAAAATTTGGTGTTAAACCACATACCATAGGAAAACAGGCTTCAAGCCAGATTTGTAATTTGCTGATCCTTGGTCTAGACAATCCACAAAATAATAATCCAAACCCTAGTCTGTATTGTTTGTTAACATCTATGGTGTAAATACTTCTCTCATAGTAGATTCCAAGCTATCAAAGCAATGTCACTAGAGATGAAATTGGAAAGTGATATGCTGTAGCATCCCAACTTAAAGGTTTTCTACCCCACAGACAGAAGAGACATAGGAAACCTCAGGAGCACATATAAATAGATAATAGATCATGGCTGAGACAGAAAAATAGCTACAACAAAGAGACTGGACAGTGAGAATATAAAAACAACTAGGGATCAATAAATCTATTATCCTTTGAAAATTATTCAATCGTAGACTTACATAACTTAATTTTTATTAATGACTATGTTTATCAGTGAGCTTACAGAATTCCTGAAAAAAATCTAGCATTTGATTATCATGGATTGGTATAAGCTGACTCCAACACACCATGGTTCACCTTTTGTCTTAAATTCTATTAATACTGGGCTGTGTGATATTTCATGTACTATGCTCTGAAAGATCTTTCCTACCTTCTGTATCAGGCCAACCTTATTCTTTTAGGACATCTCCTTCTACAAGACTTCTGACATCTTTCTAGGTTGAGTCCAGGGCCCTCTCCCATCTAATTTCTATATTCTTAGCCCTCAGTGCCAGGGCTTCTCCCCCAGTGGTTTTCTCCCCTTGTTCTGCAATGCTTATCTCAGCTGTTAGGTTGTAGGCTTCTCCAACTCAAGGAGTCCACTTCCATCATCTCTGTATAGTTAATGCCCAGTACAAAGCCTGGCATATGGTAGGGGCATGATACATACTTCCTGAATTTAACTACTAGCACAGACAGCTAACTCTTTGCTGCTGGTGTGCATGGCTTCATGCAACCTTCTTTGGTGGAGCTAGGGCCCTTTGTTTTGCCTTTACCATGAAAGAACAGGAAGGAAACAGCATTCCATGCATCCTCGTCAAAAGTCTGCATTGAAATAAATGTTAAAGACTAGTACCTATAGTGTAAGTTTTAGTTTCCCATAATTTTTCTCTCTTCCATTATCTCAGATAATTGAATAATTGGAACATTCTTTCTCTGTTTTTCTTTTTTCTTTAAGCCACCAGGAGATACATGTGTTTGCCAAAGAGATACAGAGGCACAGAAAGAGGAAGAAGGGGAAAGCTCCTCTTCTCTCTCTCTCTCTCTCTCTCTCTCTCTCTCTCTTTCTCTCTCTCTCTCACACACACACACACACACACACACACACACACACACAATGTGAAGTGGTCACACCACAATTCCTTCTTCCTGATTTTTCTATCCTGTCAGAATTTAAGATATGTACACACATGTGCCCACACATTTTTCAAGCTATGATATGAGCCATGGGGCCAGCCATGTTGGATCTAGCTCCCTTAAGTGCCAGACCATGAAGCCAGTCCCAAAGTTTTTTATCTTTTTTCCTTCTTTTTAAAGAATGCCTATGTTTAACTAAGAGACTGGACAGTGGCACAGGGAGATTACAGGTAGAAAATAATTTAAAAAGAGACTTGCTGATTTTAAAATGTATGCTATTAGTTGCTATCTCATGGGTTGCCCCCAAGGTCACTAAAGCATATCCCTATGCTCACCGCTCCGTATCTCACTGAACTCTTCCGCTCGTAGATTGTCTGGCACAGAAAGAGGGGAGTAAAGTCCCCAAGTAAGATTGCTTGGGGTCCCACATTTTCTTTCGATTGCTCTAATTTTTTTTGCTGCTATTGAGCAAGGAGCCTGGGGACATGCAGGGAGAGAGAACTCACCTCATAGTCGATGTCTAAGGCATCTGCCTCACCCTTGGTCCTGAAGTGCTGTGTGTGCTTGTCCACGGTGAAGTTCACCTGCTTGCTGACCCGCTCGATGAGAACTGAGTGCCAATGCTGGTCATCTAGGAGGCTGCCCAAGATGGCTGCAGGTGGGCTGCTGCTAAGCCGAGCTTTGCTGTCATCTGTGAAGGAGGAGGAAGGTGGGTGGCATTTATGCCCAAGGATGGCCTTGGGTACTAGAATGCTCTACATGCAAACCAGCTGTATCATAAAGGTGAGGAATAACTATCTCCACAGGCCCAGAAATGGGTTAGACTTGTAGAGGAATAGCAGGCTTTGCCCACAGATGATTCCAGAAACAAATTCTAGTTCAACAGAGTCACCCTCTGCTTTCAAATATAAACATGACATGTTTTCAAGAACTGAGCAATGAAATAAAAAGAACTATCTCCTAATGGTCACATGAATAGGGTTGCAAATAAGGGTTTTCACTTTTAGAAATCCAAATACTCTGAGTTTAAGGGGCTTTTGAATGGGGAAGGCAGGCCATGGGCTGTATTTTGGAGCAAGAGTAAAGTAAAGGGGAAGAACATGGGCTGGTTGGGCGAGGCAAATCTGCTGGCAAGTCCTGCTGCCACTGGTAAGCACCTCGTGTTTAACCAGAACTTAAGTAGGAATTGTCTAAACTCAGTTCTGTAGGAGAAAATTATTATCTGCATTTTATAAATATGGTGCTCAAGGCTCAGTGAGTTTAAGCATAAGCATGGCTTAGAGGTGCTGCTAGAATTCAGATTCAGGTCTGCTTGATCCTTTTTACCCTGAGCTGCTATTGAACGTGGTATGAGTCACATGTGTTGAGAATTCAGCCTTGGTAAATCTTGGAAGACTCCCCAGCGAGGCTGTGAGAGATTCAGGTGGAGAGCTGTGTTTTTTATTTAAGTCTGCCTGTCTTCCCACACCCTCTCTCCATCTTCCCATTTTATGGAAGTTCCTAGCTGTTTCTCCCACCAAAAAATTACACCTTTCTTTTTCCCGCAGAATTTACATTGATCACAGCAAAATTAACAATTAAGTACAACTGATTACTACTTATATATGATTTCAGCTTTTGGAATACCTCAAATATTAAGTTCCTTTAGTAACCAAACACTAAATGACTCTCCTCTTTCCCAGAATGTGCATTTGGCTCAGCTGTGACAGCCCCTGGAACAGTGACACTCAGGGACAGGAACAGCAAAATGAAACAAACCTAAGTGATTTTTTAAAAGGAATCAGGGTATATACCTTTCAAAAATAGGGAGAAATACTGTAAATTGGATGAGTTGCTTTGTTACTTTGATTAAATTAAGGTTCTTTTAGTGCGTAGCTTGGGATTTTTAAACCTGAAACTTCAAATATAATCATATACCACATAATGATGTTTATGTCCACAATGGGCAATATATACAACAGTGGTCCCATAAGTTTATAATGGAGCAGAATTGCTTCTTGACTTTTTGGCTGTAATTGAGTACAAGGAGTGGGAAAATTCCTCTCCTTTGGTGACGTCATAGTACAACACACTTCACATGTTTGTGGCAATTCTTGTATAAACAAACATGCTACACCACCAGTTAAATAAAAATATAGCACATACTATTATGAACAGAACATAATAAAATAATAATAAATAAATAATAACAACAAACAACTGCTACTGGTTTCTGTATTTAGTACACTGTACTTTAAATATTATTTTAGAGTGTGCACTTTCCATATCTACACCAAAAATGTTTACTATTTACTCTAATATAGCATGCTAATTCACACCAGCAATAGCCTCATAGCTTGTGCTTTCTACATCTTTTGATTGAATCACTTTCTCTTGTGCTTGATTTAATCTTCTTTTGTTTGTTCATCATGACCCTTTAATGGGACAAAATGTGGAGGTCAAAAACAATGGTACTAATGAATCTGACCTTGTGCCGACCTAAGCTAATGTATGTGTTTGCATCTTAGTTTTTTCACAAAAAAAGTTTTAAAAAGTTAAAACAAAATAATTTTAAATTTTAGAGGGTTTATAGCATAATGATATAATGATAAAAAGCTTGTACAACTGTACAATGTTTTTGTGTTTATATTAAGTGTTATTACATAAGCGTCAAAAAGCTGAGTCAGCTGGTGGCATGGTGGTTAAGGTGACTAGGTTCCACCTGGCCAAATCGTATGGTTTGACTCTTGGAGCAAGTAGCTTGGGAAACACACTGGGCATGTGTGTGTGCACGTGTCCAAAATCCTGAAAGGAGAAATGGAGTAGAAGAGGTTGTGGCGTGACCATCTCCCATGAGGAATGCTTTCTCACTTTCCCTTTCTCTTTTTCTGTCACTCTCTGGGTAACTCAGATACCCTCTAGCAATTTTTTTTTAATTAGAAAGTTTAAAAAAAACTAAGAAGTTTATAAAGTAGAAAAAATACTATAAATACATAATTAAAGAAAAAATTTAAATATAGTGTAGCCTAAATGTACAGTGCTTATAAAGTCTATAGTAGTGTACAACAATGTCCTAGGTTTTCACCTTTACCCACCATTCACTCACTGATACACCCAAAGTAAATCCTAGTCTTCAAGTTCCATTTATGGTAAATGTTCTAAAGAGAGATACTACTTTTTCAATGTTCCCTTCTGTATTTTTACTATACCTTTTCTCTGTATAGATAGGTTTAGGTACACAAATCCTTATCATTGTTTTACAGTTATCTACAATGTTCATTACAGTCACGTGCTGTACTTGTTTGCAGCCTAGGAGCAATGACTTTCCTATATAGCCTAGGTGTGGTAGGGTGTACCAAATGGGTTTGCCGAAGTATATTCCATGGCATTTGCAATGACAAAATTACCTAATGATGTATTTCTCAGAATGTGTCCTCATTGTTAATGACACATGACTAGTAAGTTTTCAAGTTCATGGATGTCATCCTACCCTCCTTGTATCTACTGCCACCACCATCACCACCATCTTAAGGGGCTCAAACATCTGGGTTCTGGGAAGCCAAACAAGCATTGGTAACTCCATCCTTATTCTCCTCAAGGTCTGAAGTCAGCCTTTCCTCTCCTGAGGCTCAAAAAGTTTGCTAAAATCATCCATCCAACAATCCTGCTCCTCATAAGTTTTAGATTTTAGGAATGTACATCTTCTTAAATACATAGTGACTACTGTTTACTTACTGCATTTAATGAAACTGTAAACTTTAATTAATGCACATTGTTTGCTGCAAAATAACTCATGAAATTTTTATGAACACTTACAGCAATTTATTGACCTTTCCTCAAAAGAAGGTTAAAAATTCCCTTGTTTACATTGTGCATTTGCTCAGACAGTATATTTATTACCCAAAGATAAACAAAATTGATTACCACATCTTTTGGAAAAATATATATCAATAAATACTGAGAAATTGAAAAAAATCATAACTTGTATCTAGTAACTCACTTTCTGGAAATCTATTATAATAAGACAAACTGAAACAGGTTAAAATTTTTTAATGACTATTGATTTAAAAATTGGAAATGTCCAATAATTTGAAAAGGGAACTGAAACACTAAGAGAATACATTTAGAATCACCAGATGAAATATTGCATAGCAATCAACATATTTATAAAATACTTATATGTTTTAAAAACTCTACCCAGTACTGACTACACTTTTGAATAAAACTAAAAGAAACATTTAGTAAAGACTATTTAAAAATTAAACCATACTAATTATATATAAAAAGGAAATAGAAACTAATACAACATGAAAAAGGCACAGATTAGCACTATATGCAGATAAAACTCAAGATTGTGTTTGCTACATTCATTGTTTTTACATTTTATAGTGAGCACAATTATTTTTAATAATGGAAAAATATATGAACTCCATTAAAACATAACCCTCACTCTGCATAACTTATTCATAGAAAACTATGTATTAGTGATGTATGAATTATTGAATATCTCCTGAATTATAGGTTACTTTTTAATTAATCAAAAGGGACAGACATGAAAAAATGTTATTACCTGATCTCTGTTATTTATTCTATGGTAACAATTAGATTGCTTCTATTGAAACAAGTTGAGTAAAAGTTTGGTTAAATAATTGAGGAATTGGAATATCTACTACTCATCAAGATAGTTTAGAATTGTATTTATGAAGAAAAAAAGATGGTGATTCTAGGAAGTATTCCATCTTAACTAGAAAATTTCTTCATTAGAAATTATGATAAAAATTTAATTCTCAAGAAATTATCAAACTGTATCTTGGAAGATCTGTTTCAAGTTTTATCTCACTGGCACTTGAGATTCAATTACTACTTTGAACTAGATTCTAGTTTATTAGGGCAAGATAAAAATTCTCATGGGCAATTGTGAAGGACAAAAGCAATAAAAGTACGCAAAAGCTAACCTTTCAGCCAGAAACATATCAAGCAATGAATTATTTCTAATTTTAAAAGCAAACAAACTTGTTTTCATGTGATTTGAGATATGCTTGAAATGAAACAATGTAAATACTATCCGAAACCCTAAGGAATATAACAGTTTCTCTAGATAGCTTGAATGTTTGCAAAAAATTCCTAACTTCATCTTTTTATCCTCTTTTCCCCACTGTCAACATGCTATGAATAAGCAAGTCAATACTTTCACCTTTACTGAGAACTCACATTTCCTGGCTAAGGACATACATATCAGTGTTTTCACCCACAGGCCTGCTTGATTATATCTTCTTGCTTGGTTTTATCTTAACAGTTCAAACACAAAAGTCACTTTATCTTTCACAATCTGTAAATTTCAGATAACCTGAGACAAAGGTAATGAGAACTTTCGGTTTTTTTTTTTTTTTGAGAGGTTTTTTGCTATAGGGTGCGTGCACTCGCCAGACAGACAGAGAGAGACATAGAGACAGAAAGCAAGAAATCACCCCCCAGGGGGGATGGCCACGACGCAATCCCTTCTCCTCCATTCTTCTCTCAGGATCTTGGGCATGCACGCACACGCGCCCGGCGTGAGTTTTAAGCCACCGGGTCCGGGACGCAAACCGCGGTCAACTACGTGGGAGTCCAGAGACATAGCCATTATGCTAACTGCTGGTTCCCAGAACTTTCTTGTTTAAGTCCTGATTTCAGTCAAAAGTCACTCTTGGAAGGTCTTAATTTACTTTTGTTAAGATAGGTGCCTGCTCCTGTGGCTTTCCAATGCCTGCCCCTATCTGATCTACAGAGCCCACTTTTTCCACCTTTAATTTTTCAGATGATCAATGTTGGTATTCACCTGTGTTTAGTAAGCTTCTCACGTACGGTAAACACTTTACATATGTTGTTTCAATTATTCTTGAAACCAATCCTGAAAAATGATCAGTCCCTAAGAAGTCACACAACTCACTCAAGGACACAAATGATTAGGACTACGACCAGCTTTATCTGACTCTAAAACTAATATTCTCCGAACTACTACTTCTAGGGACAGGAGGAAGATACTTCCATTCTCCATTATTTCCTAGAATGAAATCATGTTCTGTCTGTATTTCTCTACACTTTATATAAGCTGTATAGCCTAGTAGGAATGAAGTTCTCAAAAATATATATATATATATTATATATTTTTATATAATATATATAAATATAATATATATATTATATATTTTTATATAATATATATGGGAATGAATGAAAGAGCAGACCAGCCAGTTGCATGTTGGTTAAGGAGACCGGATCCCATGTGGCTATGTAGTTTGAGTCTCAGATGCTGCAGCTTGAGAAATGCACCAGGCATGTGTTTTGTGTGTGCCCAAATCCCAAGGGAGAATGGAGAAGGGATTATGTTGTGGTCATCCTCCCTGGGAGATGCTTTCTCATTTTCTTTGTCTCTCTCTCTCTGGCAAGCACATGTGACCTATAACAAATTGAAAACAGAAAAACAGAACCATGGAAAAGAAAAACGGGGCCACACTAGATGAGAGGACATTATGCAGAACGGGAAGGCAGATTTTACCTTCACAGGCTAGCAGTGGCATAAAGGGGCCCTGCCTGCCCTGGGTTGGCCATATCCATGACTGATGGATGATCTCTTAAGTATTCAAGTGAGACCCCCTAGAGAAAATAAGACACTAACCGGGATTTCTGTATCTTTGCCCCTCTCACCAAGCAAATCTCTATGTATCACCAATAAAATTCATGCCTTTTTGTTAGAAAATTTCCAAATTTGTTGAGTAAAAACTTTCCCAGATTTAGCAGGTCTCGTTCATGTCTAGTCTTAATTTGGATCTATCATCTACAATTTTGTTATCTTGGAGAAGGTTGTAATTCTAGGCCTATAGCTGTGCAATTTTAGGACCGACGGGACAGCACAGACCACTTGTTTCTCCATCTGTAAATCAGTTTGGACAGAGTTTACAGAACTGCCATGTGATTTAAATAAACTATGTATTTAAACCTGTGCTACATGTGGGCTCTCCAAAAAGTGACAACTTGAAGAATATCTTTCATAGTATTTAGTACAATTTCAAAAACATAATAAGAATTCCATAAATATGTGTGAGTCAGCTTTCTGAAATGGTTGCATTTCAAAAGAACTAAAGTAAATGTTGATTGAACTCTCTAGAGAATGTGAAGAACTTGCACCAATAACCTTAATGAGTCAATCACATAATCAAATGCTTTGGCTTCTGAACCCAGTACTTGACCCTCAAAGGGCATTTTGCTCTGCATGTCTATTCTTTTGCAGGATTTCCACTTCCCTCCAGCTGCACATGTTGAGGATTGCGCAAGCATTCTGCCACAGTTCAAAGACAGTGAACTCTTGTAAGGATGAGTGACCTGCATGTACTATTGATGTCTTGTTTAGTTCTTACAACGGTTCCCTAGCCATGCAATGCCTCTGCTCTTTGATTTTCCACTTGCCTGTACAGGTTCAGGCTGTTGTAATGCTATAGAGAACAGACTGCCACAGGCGATTTGAATTAGATGTGTACAAAATGGGAAGGGTAATCATCTCTCTCTCTTTCTTTTTAATGGATTGAAAGAAAAACACTTTTTTTTTTCTCATTTGGTAGTTCCGGGAAAAATTAATGCCCTACTGTAAGAAAGTAGGCAAAGGAACTATCTAGTGAAATTTCATCATAAAGGTGATTCTGGCCAAATCAGACAGAGTTAAAGTAACTAAGTGAAGTAAATCAGAAAGTAATCACTGAAATGTCACTTGAAAAGACCACCACACAATGTATGTCTCTAAGCACAGCCTCGGCAGTTGGCCTTGGTGCTGACTCTTCCACTCAACCTGAGTTTCTGAATTACAGTTACTGATTAGATAATAAACATACATTGTACACTTGAGAACTGTCATTAAAGAAAACATTGCTGACATGTCCTGTCAGCTGGAGAGGGAGCATCCTTGCTAGAATACTGTGCCTTTGCATGTTCCTAGTAGAAGACGCGTACTTTACTATTGACAAATAACAGCAATTTCACTCAAACCTATGAAGCTATGTGAGCCACTTGTAATTAGGAGATCCCACCTCATTCATCCATTCTTTTTCCTGAAAACTAAAGGCCAGTTAATGAACATACGTGTGTCCGTTTAGTATTTATACATCCAATCCTCACACATGTCATTGATACTTTGCTTCCTTAGGTATGTTAATATAACCAATTAAGTTAACAGAAAAGTCTTCATATTGCTCTCTTCTGAGTGAGATTGTGCTTCTATAGGAGAGTTTGGTGTATATTTAATTAATATATTTAGTGTCAATATTATGCATTAAATTTTTAATTCTGGGGTTTTTTCCTTGTTCTTTTTTATTTCCCTGCCACTTCTACCCATATTCACTATGAAGGCTAAGAAGATCCTAAGAACTGCCTCAAACAAAGACCAACATCATGTGACTTTGGTATGAGTCTGTGTTAACCTTGCTATATATGTCTCTCCTTGTAATTGCTGAAATATATTTAGCTGTGGGTTGTTTCCAGTCTTCCATGGTACTTGAGCTTACAAACTACTGCTGTGTCTTTACTTCTTTACTATTTGATAGAGAGTACTAAAAGGTAATTCTCTTCCCCTCCTCCTACTATTGATAAATATTAAATGGGAAGCACGGAGTCATTCTCATAAAAAACAGCCACTACTGTCTCCTCAACTTGTCTCTCTATTTTTTTTTTTTTTCTACAGGAGAGCTTTTTGCTTTGCCTTCGAATCCTTGGGAACCCTGCTTTCTGGCCATTAGGCTAACCCTTCCTTCAAAAGTTCCTTTGATCCTATAAAGGGGGCAGAACCTTCTCCCTCTAGCCCTGAGATGAGAAGTTAGTGACAATAGATGAGGAAGCCATGATGGACACCAACCCAGAGTGGAAGCCTTTGTCCTAAATGTACAGGAGGCAGGAGGGCATTCTATTCTAAACTAGCTGGCATTTTGTAAGTCTGAAGCTAACCCTGACTAAGTCAGGGCGCTTAGAGAAAATAATATTTCCCTTAACAGCTCATGGGAATGCCCACAAAGTTACATTTTTCACCCCTGATGTATAACCCACCTGGAGAAAACAAAACATAGTAAAACATAGAAATTACAATTTTTCTCTTACATTTTCCCCTATAACTTAAATTTTATAATGTAACTAATAGAATAGACTGTGAACAATTCTGCTTTTAGTGTGTGTGTGTGTGTGTGTGTGTGTGTTTGAACTTATTAAAATTTCTTTAGAATCTGAGTTACTAAAAGAAATAGATAATTAGACAGCTAGATAAATACATTATGATTAGCTTACAGTTCTCCCTAAAGTCCAGCATTATCTTCTGTTAAACAATCCTAGCTGCGGTTTAAACATATTTAAAAATATGGCATTTTTCTACCTCCATCTAGATACAGTGAATATGTCACTTAGGTTATGCTCCAGTGACTTCCAGCTGATACACTGGATGAATCAGGAACTGTGGCCTTCTACAAAAAGGAGTCCCCTTTGCCTGACTTGCAAAGGGTAGTGGCGAGCCTGACCCTACCCAGGTTGAGGTGCAGGGCAAGCCTCCCCTTCTGCAGCTCTAGAGTGATGTGGTCTCCACGTTGGCCTTCTCCATGGAACAGGACCCCATCTCCTTGCATGCTCTTGAACTTCAGGGAGATCACATCCTTGAGAGTGCTCATGAGCTTCTGATTGAACCTGTACAGAAGTGAGCTTCGGCCGTCAAAGTCAGCTACGTCCGATTCTGGATGCAAAAAGAGGGGAGAAAAGAGAAAGTCAGTGCACAGCCCCATGCTTACTGTTCCTCTTTCTCATCTTTACTGTTGTCCAATCCACAGGAACATTCTTGAGATCTGGATGATCCTATCTGCACTGGAATCATATAGCTTGAATCCAAACTAATCGGGCTCGGAGGAATTATTCATATACAAGCAACTACCTACCAAACATAGAGTCAAAGTGAGATGATCATCAGTCTGGAAGTAAAAACTCTCATTAGTGATATGACAGCTTTTGCTTGATGTGACAGGGTGAGAATACTTCAAGAATCCATGTCAGGCTCTCATGGATCAGATACCTGGCTTGTAATAAACTCTCATTATTTATCCTCCTTATTAATTAGCTTCTTACTGTTGGAACCAGTTGACCTTCTCATTTCAGGCTTGTTGTCAAAGACTTAAAAAGAAGATATAATTATTAAAACAACTGTTGTTGAATATTACTGGTTTCTTAGAACCCTGGGTAGGGAAGGATGCTGAGGCTTGCTCTGGGTTCAGTAGAAATTAAAATCTACTAGAGGAAGAATAGGTATTTGAACAGAGAGGGCAAATATATTGCATCCTAGCCATCCCTGCTTTGTCCTGTGCTGGTGATATTTTAGTGTTTACATAGAGAAGGTGTTTATTCATTTTTGTTAAAGCAAAAGCCAAAAGATCAATAGTCACTATTTAGATGTAGACACCTTATCTGGATATTATGGAGATGAACCTGACAAACATGCCAAAAAAAAAAAAACCAGTAGAACTTTATTTGGAGGTTTTTATTGTAGGTTATTTTAATTTTATTTTTCAATGTTTTTATTATTAAAAATTTTACAGTGAACTTTTATTTTGCTTTTATAACTAGAAATATATGACTACTTCATTATAACTTGAGATATATTCATTATATACCAGCTTATGTGGCTGTGGCAGTGGTGAATGGGTATTGGGAGGAGATAGAATTATCATTATTTGAAATTCAGTATCCAGAAAAGTTCATTTTAAAAATTATTTGCAAATAATTAAAATTGCCAACTTGAGCAAACACATTGATAAAGTAAGTATTTTTTAACCAAAAATCTAGAAACAACCTTTGTAATTCTGAAAATTGGAAATGAAGAGAAAAGTAAATCACATTTCTCTGTAATCAGTTGTAAAGTACAATTTCATATTTTATTTATATGGAATAAAGTGACTTTACCTGAAAGGTTGCTGTGGACTTTTTAGAAACTGCCCCAATACAGAGAGATTCCCACAAAGTCTCACCTTTCTCCCCACCCGACCTTGAATATTCTTACACCTGTCCTCTAAACTGTGATCTACCCAAGCCAAACGTAAGCTATAGGATTGAGTGTCATCAATCATAGAATAACATGATAGAGACAAGATTGTGGACTTTAAACTACAATAGCCAGAACTTGTCAGCTAGGTCACCTTGGGTAACATTAGCTCTCTAAGACTTGAATTCTTTATCTATAAAATGAGGATAATAATATCCATTAGAAAATTCTACTGTGAGACTTAGATGTGCTAGTACATATAACACAATAACACATACCAGTGATGCCATCGTGCCTGGCACATTCATTGAGTGACATCAGTACTAGGTGGTCTGAATATTAGCAGAAATTGGGCCAGGTGGAGGCCTTGCGTTCTTGCCAGTCCACTCTAGCAGCTGCCACTCCACCTTCTCACCCCTAATGATGCTTTTCACTTTTTTCTTTACGTATTTATTTTACACTCAATATATGCTGAATGTCTGTTTTTTCACTGTTTAATTCAATGGTATACTGCCCAGGGAAAGCCAAGTTGACCCCTAGGTACCTGTTCTGCCATATATCAGCTTCTCACACTCCAGCCGGAATCTCCCATGTGTGCGGGGTGCCTTCAAGCTTTTATAATCATCATGTGACTATCACAGTCTTAAAATAACCTCAAACTGCCCTCCCAGATTCAACTTTTGTGGACTCCATGTGACACATCATAAAAACTAAAAAACATCATGCCTACCTTCATCAAAACCCTTCAGTGAATATATTTTCATGAAGAATTCAATTAAATGAATTAAACAACCCCAGACGATCTGGCTCTGTCTACCTTTCTCCAACCTTAACTCATCTCTGGATAACTTGTGCTGCTGATGCATGTGTGTGCCTGTGTGTATAGGTGTATATATATGAGTGTGTATGATTAGGATATTATGTGTGGAGCTCACACTATGAACTATACTTACGTAAGTGTTTTAGTGCATTGACTCATTTAATCATATCAATCACCCTTTGAAGCAGCTACTATTATTTCCATTTTACAAGTGAAGAACTATGAAACAAAGAGATGAAGAAGTATGTCATTATTAAGTGGCAGAGCTAGGACCCAAACCTGCCTCACCTGCCCTGTCAGTGCTACGTTCTTGAATGTTGTCTTCTCTGCCACGGTGTTCTAAAACCCAGCTCATTAGTCAGATGACTTCCACTGCCTTAAGACGCCCCTTTCTCATTAGTCTCCCTTGAAGCTCCCTGCTATTTCCTTCACAATCCACCTCACAATTAAAATTAAATACCTGTTTATTTTCTTAATTGTTTAAAGCCTAGCTCTCTGACATATCGGTGTATCCTATGAGGGCAAAAGCCACATATGTATTGTTTGTTGCATTAATTGAGAGCCTAGCACTGGTCCCAGTAGATAATACTGTCCATAAAAGCTTGTGAAAGGAGTTGGTGACCCATTGTGGCACCTATGCCCAAGCTCGTGCTACTGACTATCCCTGAATACTTGCTATATCACCTGCTCTTTCACACTCAGGAGTTAATTTCTCCTGGAGGCTCACTCAGCCATGCAAGAGGTGATGCCTGCATTGATCACATATGTGCATTGGTATGTGAGGTGGCACTTCTCCAGTGGACAAGGAAGTAGTTGGTGGGAGAGCATTAGCTCTGCTGACATCACTGACACCTAGAGAAAGGCAATCTAAGAGCGAATGCCCAAACACCCTGGACCTGTGCAATGCTGAGTAGGCACTACATGAAATCTATCAGTCATTTCATAGCAGAGAAACAAAGGTTAATAGAGCTGATCCTATAGCTTAGTGATTAAGAGAAATGGATTCTAGGGAGCAGCAGTTAGCGTAATGGCTATGTTGCTGGACTCCTATATAGTCAACCGTGGTTCGCATCTCGGACCCGGTGGCTTAAAACTCGCACTGGGTGCGTGTACGTGCATACCCAAGATCCCCAGAGGATAATGGAGGAGAAGGGATTGTGGCATGGCCATCCCATCCCCCCTGTGGGGTGATTTCTCTCTTTTTGTCTCTCTGTCTCTCTGGCGAGAGCACATGCCCTATAGCAAAAACCTCTCAAAACAAACAAACAAACAAAAAGGATTCTATATGAACAACAAATCAGTTTGAGTACTGGCCTAGGCAGCTTGAAAAACATGCTGGGCAGATGTATATGTGCACGTGTGACCAAAATTTCAATAGGATGAAGAAATGGATGAGAAGAAATTGCAGCTTGACCATGCCTTACCAGGGGCAACTTTCTCCCTCTCCCTGTATCTATATCTCTATCTCTGGCAAATGCGCACACTGTATGGCAGATTAAAAACAAACAAACAAAAAAAGGTAAAATCCTTTTTCTTGTTCCCGTCTCCCCCCAATTACAGAGAATTTACTTATATCTAGAATTTACTTATGTGACTCAGAAAAATTCTTTCCAACAGAAATGAAATTGTCTTTAACTGACTCCCTCGTAGTCTCATTGAGCAACCAGTGACAAAAACTAAAGGTCTCCACACCCATGATACCGTTCTGAGAAACAGAGGAACATGAACAGCTCTGAGAAATCACTTTAGCTGCATAATGAGACAACCTTTGTTGCTGGACTCCTATATAGTCAACCGTGGTTCGCATCTCGGACCCGGTGGCTTAAAACTCGCACTGGGTGCGTGTACGTGCATACCCAAGATCCCCAGAGGATAATGGAGGAGAAGGGATTGTGGCATGGCCATCCCATCCCCCCTGTGGGGTGATTTCTCTCTTTTTGTCTCTCTGTCTCTCTGGCGAGAGCACATGCCCTATAGCAAAAACCTCTCAAAACAAACAAACAAACAAAAAGGATTCTATATGAACAACAAATCAGTTTGAGTACTGGCCTAGGCAGCTTGAAAAACATGCTGGGCAGATGTATATGTGCACGTGTGACCAAAATTTCAATAGGATGAAGAAATGGATGAGAAGAAATTGCAGCTTGACCATGCCTTACCAGGGGCAACTTTCTCCCTCTCCCTGTATCTATATCTCTATCTCTGGCAAATGCGCACACTGTATGGCAGATTAAAAACAAACAAACAAAAAAAGGTAAAATCCTTTTTCTTGTTCCCGTCTCCCCCCAATTACAGAGAATTTACTTATATCTAGAATTTACTTATGTGACTCAGAAAAATTCTTTCCAACAGAAATGAAATTGTCTTTAACTGACTCCCTCGTAGTCTCATTGAGCAACCAGTGACAAAAACTAAAGGTCTCCACACCCATGATACCGTTCTGAGAAACAGAGGAACATGAACAGCTCTGAGAAATCACTTTAGCTGCATAATGAGACAACCTTTTTTCCTGTGCAGTTTTGCCCCTTATTCCTCATCATCCAAGAACTTGTTGATTCCATCAGGCTCCCAAAGAGACTCATTTACTAACCAGAGTCTGAACATTGATATAGGACTAGCTGAAGTTGGGGATAGATTATAGTTTCAGGACTCTGTTGAGGGTACTCTCTCTCTGTCTCTTTGTCTCTTTCCTTCTCTGTTTCTCTTGCTTACAGAAGAAACACACAAATCACCTTTAAAAATCTAAGTAATATGGAATGTAATGTGACCTGGAGTTCAATAGAGGAATACTTATTAAAACATTTAAAGTAGAAAAAAATGCATTGCTTTGTTCTTTAGAATAAACTCTTTGTTCTTTAGAAAATTAATCTGATTACCTGCACAG